GCAAAATTTAGGTTAAAAACATAGAACCATCATCGTGTGTTGCCAGAAAAGGAAAAAAAAAAATATCCCCAAATAACTTATAGGTAATTAAGATGTTAATGAAGCATAAATAATAATAATAATAATAATACGCAGAATTTTGTTAGGGATTCATAAATTAATTAAAGACGCCCTTGATCTGTAATTTGTGCTCGCTAGATGTTATTTAGGACGAATATATTATGTAGTTACCGTGGCTGAGGAAACCAGAAAAATACGAGGGGGTGGGAGGGGGAAGGGGAGAGAGTATAGGGGAGGAGGAAGGGAAGGGTGGAGGGGAGAGAGGTGGGGGAGAGAAGGGAGAGGAAGGGAGAGAAGGGTGGTAGTCAAGAGTAAATGGATAAACATTATTTTTATGGTGTGTGTGTGTGTGTGTGTGTGTGTGTGTGTGTGTGTGTGTTTTGGAATTATAAATAGGAAATGAAAAAAAATTAATTGCATGAGAGGGAATATTAATTTATTCATAAGGGGATTGTCTGTCCATCTGTCTGTCTGTCTGTCTGTCTGTCTTTCTGTCCATCTGTCTGTCTGTCTGTCTGTAATCGATGCTCTAATCCATAATTATCCGGAGTCTAATCTTCTTTCTGTTCTTATAAACCATAACTAATCACCACAATTTACACACCTCTCTCTCTCATCCCCTAACCCTTTTATCTTTCTATTCCTTCCTCTCCCCTCATCTCCTTTTTTTCTTCTTACCTCCCGTCCCATCTCCCTCCCATCCCCACCCACCCACCCCTCCCCTCTCTTTCCATTCCCTCTTACTCCATTTCTATCCTTCCTCATCTTGCATTTCCTCCCTTACCCCTCCCCTCTTCCCTATCCACTTTCCCCATCTCCTTTTCTGATTTCCATTCTCTCCTATTTCCTCTTCTCCTCCCCCTTCACCCTCTCTTCTATTCCTTTTTCACTTCCCAGAATTCCTACAGTTCCTTTCACTTTCTCTTCCCCGTCCATCATCTTTATCACCCCTTCCCTAAACATTCCTTTACTCTATCCCCTCCCTCCATCCCTTCCTCTTTATCTCTTCTTGATCTCCCTCATTCCCCTTTTCCCTATTCCCTCCTCCCAATTCCTTCTTCTGTATCCCTCCCTCCTTCCTTCCCTCCCTTCTTTTCTCCCTCCCTCCCTCCCTCTTTCCCCTATCACACCTATCCGTGTCAGGGTCAGGTAAGGGCCCTGAGGGAGATAAGGGAGGCAAGACATCTCCTCCAGAAGGTTCGCCTGTAGAGTACCTGTCCACGCCTTCAGTAGACCTCACCTGTTGGCTACATAATTAACCTGGTCCTCTGCGCCCTACACCTGAATTCTCTCAAAGTCTTACGTTATAATGACCATCTGACTGACTTACACACCAATTGACTGACTGACTGACTGACTTGACAGACTGACTCGATTGACTGACTTGATTGACTGACTGATTTACTGCCTGACTATCTGGGTATTTGACTGACTGACTGACTGACTGACTGACTTGATTAACTGACTTGATTGACTGACTGATTTACTGACTGACTATCTGGGTATTTGACTGACTGACTGACTGACTGACTTGTTGATCAACGTGACTGACTGACTACTTAGAAAACGAGAGATAAGATTTTAGGACAAGGAAACAGTATATGAAAAAATACCACAATTTTTTCTATGATGTGAAACAAAAATTGAAAAATAAATTTTTATTTTTATTTTTTATCTGAAATAGGTTTGTAATGCCTGTATTACAGTCATGTTAAATATTTACATGACAATTTCTCCACTGTCTTGATATACATTGATCTCTGTTTGTTTGTTTGTCTGTTTGTCTTTCTCTGTATTTGTCTGTCTGTCTGTCTGTCTGTCTGGTGCAAGCTTTCTCCCATTACAACACTGGGTGGAACAATACTAACTCTCTTTATTCGCAGCCATTTACACTAACTACTGCAACAAGTGTAATATACTATGGTTTCCCCTTCCTACACACACACACACACGCGCGCGCGCGCGCATGCACACACACACACACACACACACCTAGCTGTGACATTATGATGTAGTGAGGTGGCAGATTTTACATTTGCCCCACGAGGGGGTTAGTTTGTTGGGAACCCCCTTGCATCCTGTACAAGGTGAAGCTCAAAAGTGGTTCCAGCATCCAACAGGGAAGCATGTGGAGTTCATGTTTACCTTCCTGACTCAAGCATTAAGGACGCAACTACCTGAAGGGCCATGGGTTTTGTCAGCAAGTTACACATAGTGACAGGAGGATGAGTGTGTGGGGAAAGAACTCCCGGTACAATTCATCTGTTTATGGCAAAGCGTGGCAGGTCCCTAATAATGTCAAGTGCCAGGCCTGTCTCTAGGAGGAGAGATATCTGGTCAGGGAGGACTAGGTGTTGGTGACGGCTGGGGACCTGTAGGGGGAGGTCATAGGGCAAGTGAGGATGTAGTGAGAGACTTTACAAATAGTGCGTCCAGTCTCAAGGTCTTCAATGTACTCCCATGAGTACCTGTACAGTACACTAGGCGCAGTCTCGTGTACACAATCTGCTGGGCCCGAGTAGGAGGTTGATACTCCTTGTAGTGGCGACTGTCGTCATCGGTTACTGCGTCAGGTGTGTCCAGTGTTCGTCGAATGCCTCTCGTTGTGCGGCGTGTATGCGAGATTTGAGATGGTTGAGGCATCAGTGCCTTATTCTTGTGTCACAGGCAGCTCTTCCTGTGTGCGACGGAATCCAGATAAACTTGACACGGATGTCGTCAGTTTGCTCTAGCCCGGCGGCAGAGGAGGAGAGAGATGGGGTATCTGAGCCTCGCTAACGCAGAAGTGCTGTCACTGAAGATAGGAGGTTCAGGCGTTCAGTGAGGGCAAAGGCCGCGCCCTCATGAAGTGTCTGTGAAGGCGGCCCAATTATGTACCCTAATATTCCTGTGGACCTGGCACTCAGGGATCCACAGCAGCGCCAGTCTACTCGAGGCAGCTAAGTTTGAATATTTATCTTAGTTGGGTGGATATACGACCAGGGAAGGTGTGGACGACCACGACAACACTAGGAGAAGTCCGCACACACACACACACACACACGCACACACACAGAATTAACTCAGATAAAACTCTATCATAATTCCTCCCCTACCACCACTACCATCCACCACAGCTAGCATTTAATCTGAAGCCCTCAAGAGAGCTTATACCTGAGTTCACACACACACACACACACACACACACACACACACACACACCCCAGCACCACCATGGCAACCCAGACACCAATACTTGCCTCAACATCCCCCAGATTAATTGGAACCCCATTGAAAACATCGGCTCTAATACTGTTACGCTCCGCTGAGTTTAACGACGGTGTGGTTGAAATACAGGTGCTAGTAATTAGTATTCAGGTGTAAAGAGATTTGTACCTGAGTATTCATTAACGAGCGTTCCACTGTTTTTCTTCTTTTACTGAATGGTGGATTGTGCCAGTCTACTCCTTGTTTTATTATGGAGAGTGTTGTTATTATTATTATTATTATTATTATTATTAGTAGTAGTAGTAGTAGTAGTAGAAGTAGTAGTATTATATCAGAATTATAGAATATCTCTCATCTACTATTTAACTCCTCCCCAGCCCCCGTCATGAGAGCTGGGCAACATACGCGTCAGCACCGTTACATAACACCCAAACTTTTCCTTGTTCCAAAGTTTGACAATTATTCTAAACTGTTTCCCAGGGAGTAAATCCGGCTTGTTTTAAAAAAAAGTAAGGCAGGCGACGGTTCTTTTATCTCTATATAGTTACATATTTATCATAATTCTTCTTTCACTGTTATTTAATTTATTTAGAGTGGTTGCAACAGGACGTGGGCCGGTATTAATGTCTCTTATTATTAAAGTGAATGTTTTATGACATTCCTGTAAAATACCGGATTTCTCATGTCCCTTTTAAATCTGAATTCTTATTGCACAATATGTAGTTTTATATATTGCTAAATAACGATGATATTTTGTATTTTCTCAACATTTATACTGGTCTGTATATAGCGATCATTATAGTACTGTACACGCTAACTAAACCTAATGAACCGAACCTAAACTATGTCAGGTGTAGTTGTGGTTATGTCATTGTTATAAACGACGGCCTAATGAAATCAAGCTAAGCTTTTCCATATTCGAGTTAATTGCCATTAATTTCAGCAGAATTTCACAAGAACTTTTTATCATTTTAATGAACGTATATGGCTTAGCCTGAGGAGCGTGAGCCTTGTGTGTGTCAGTATTATCAGAGTTAATGTTAAGATTCAGCTCTATCTGTGCTCGGAAGACTGGTGGGACGACAGCTCAGTCACCTCAGGGAAAAATGTCTTTTCAGTTCGTCTCGGAGAGTTAGAGTTACAGTCGTTTACTACACTCGGGTCTGCTGGGGGTTTTCAGATATAATTCAGAGAAGAAATTGAAGAAACGTTGTATACTGTTAAACATTAATTGCTCGATGTGTAATGTTAAACATCTATTGCTGTGTCACAAGATGCTGGGATGAACAAACAGAGACTAAGAGTTGGTAAAATTAAATGTTTTTTAACCAGTTGGCTCATGTGGAACAGCAGTTGCCAAAAATTCCACACTCTGCAGTTATCTGATACAGTGTCTTAGGGCTGTAAACAAACTTGAAATTCCATCTGCGAGACGTGAACAAATGAATAAATTACCCAAAATATGTAAGACTCTTTGGGATTGTGAGAAGATTAGTGTGACTAATAAACAAATCGCTTTCTGAGTCACTATAGTGAAGTGTGAGAGGCGGCCATCTTGTCCCGGAGAAAAACAAAGAGAAACAACAGGTTGGGGCAATACAATGCTGGAGATGGTCGACCTTTGGATCACTTCTGGGGAGCTGCACGATGAGGGGGAACAATATGTAATTAACCATACCTTGCCAAGTCGAGGAGTAGCCATACCTGCTTTTTACCACACCCACTCAGTCAATTTATGGGACCTTCAACAAACTAAAATAGCTGGAAGTAGGAGAAATAAAATCGGGAACAGGGGCTACTGAAGGGGTCACGGGGACGGGGGCTACTGAAGTGGTCAAGGGGACGGGGGCTACTGAAGTGGTCAAGGGGACGGGGGCTACTGAAAGGGTCAAGGGTGTGGAGGAGCCGTGGACGGGGGCTACTGAAGGGGTCAAGGGTGTGGAGGAGCCGTGGGCGGGGGCTACTGAAGGGGTCAAGGGTGTGGAGGAGCCGTGGGCGGGGGCTACTGAATGGGTTAAGGGTGTGGAGGAGCCGTGGACGGGGGCTACTGAAGAGGTCAAGGGTGTGGAGGAGCCGTGGGCGGGGGCTACTGAATGGGTTAAGGGTGTGGAGGAGCCGTGGACCGGGCTACTGAAGGGGTTAAGGCCAGAGCAGGGTGGTGGCCCGAGGCTGTTATACCTCTGGCAGCCAATTTCAACCATCATCTGTGATAGATAAGAAAATACACTTTGTATTAAGGGAAAATAATCTAATGTCCTCTTTTAAACTTCTATAAAAGTCAAGTGAACGGACAAAGATGGATCCTTGTTCCAGACGCACCGCACCACTCGACCAGCACCACATGTTAGTAAATGTTGTCTCAATAACATAGACATGCTCAGTGTGTCCTCATGAGCTAGACACTGACCCCATGTTGGTACCCTGATCTCCTTGCTGTAACGTTGATATTTGTCTTAATCTTCTGTAACTGGAGGTCTCTAACAGATGCTATGTTTCTGCCATCAATACATCCCCCACCCTCTTGTGATCCGTCGTGTAGAAAGCCCTGGAGCTCACCGGTATGGTAGTGGGAAGGGTGCAGGATTTCTTTTAGCCGCGACTGTACATACAGACTAACTTATTCACACCAGCGTGAGGGACATTCAATCATATTTATGTGTTTAGTTCTATACGTGGGAATTGACTTACTTAATGAAGGCAAAAATGTGGATACAATAAACTATCTGATGTATTTGACAAAATTCAAACTTAGTCATCAGACAAACACACACACACACACACAAACACACACACACACACACACACACACACACACACACACACACACACATCATCATCATCAATAATACTATCAACAGCTACCACATTGAAATCTCGCCAGAAAGGTGAACAAACCATAAATATGTTATATGGAACATAAATATAACTTCCCAAATGACTCTCATATACTTCCTCACCGCGGCCTGACGAATAGTGCAACTGTAATGTTCTGTCAGGGCTCAGGTCGAGGCTCATCCGTCCTGATCATCTATATGTGTATGTGTGTGTGTGTGTGTGTGTGTGTGTGTGTGGTCAAAATGGCGGGGATCCGCTTTTGAATTTTGCCACATACTGCGGGTAGTTTATTGTGCACCTCATACTCATCCTGTGAGCGGTAGCGCAAAAGGATTAAAGAGTAGTCACAAAGGATGTGTCTGACAGACCCCAGGGGCAGGTTATTTGGCATTGAATGTTAAAAAAAGAGCCCCAATACATTACGCTTGTTTAGTTCTTGTACAGTCATGGTCAAAAGTAATCATGCACACCACCACCTAACCCCTGCGTCTGGCCGGGTCCTTTCTGCACGGTAAGTCACGTGAGGTGGAAAGGGGAATGGTTTACTTGTGGGAGGGGTGTGGGAGGGTAGTGTGTTCCTCATCAGAGAGGGAGGGGATTGAAGAAAGTAGGGTAATCCCTGAAGGAAGGAGGGGAAGGATGGGCGTAAGTTTTATCACTATATTGTCTTGGGTTTACAGCCAGAAAGAGCAATAGATGAGGACCCTTATTATATGATTATTATAAGACGTCATTCATTTCATTATTTATTTTTTTTTCAAGTATTAAGGATAATTCTCAGACCACATACACTCTCACTATATACAGTAAGTGGCCCTTGACTTGCACCCTCCTACCTTACCCGGGTCCGCCACCCCTAGCTCTCCCCCCATCAATACATCCCCACCCTCTTGTGACCCGTCGTGTAGAAAGCCCTGGACATCACCGGTATGGTAGTGGGAAGGGTGCAGGATTTCTTTTAGCCGCGACTGTACATACTCTCTTACTTATTCACACCAGAGTGAGTACAGCAGTGTGAGATAATACACCTGGCTGCACACTTTGTTAATCGCACCAGCGTGAGTACAACAGTGTGAGATAATACACCTGGCTGCACACTTTGTTAATCGCACCAGCGTGAGTACAACAGTGTGAGATAATACACCTGGCTGCACACTTTGTTAATCGCACCAGCGTGAGTACAACAGTGTGAGATAATACACCTGGCTGCACACTTTGTTAATCGCACCAGCGTGAGTACAACAGTGTGAGATAATACCTGGCCGCACACTTGTTAATCACACCAGAGGAGTACAGCAGGAGATAATACACCTGGCTGAACACTTTGATCACCACAGATGAGTACAACAGTGTGAGACAATACACCTGGCTGCACACTTTGTTAATCACACCAGAGTGAGTACAACAGTGTGAGACAATACACCTGGCCGCACACTTTGTTAATCACACCAGAGTGAGTACAGCAGTGTGAGACAATACACCTGGCCGCACACTTTGTTAATCACACCAGAGTGAGTACAGCAGTGTGAGACAATACACCTGGCTGCACACTTTGTTAACAGAGTGAGTACAACAGGTGTGAGACAACACACCTGGCCGCACACTTTGTTAATCACACCAGAGTGAGTACAGCAGTGTGAGAGCTACACCTGGCTGCACACTTGTTAATCACACCAGAGTGAGTACAGCAGTGTGAGACAATACACCTGGCCGCACACTTTGTTAATCACACCAGAGTGAGTACAGCAGTGTGAGACATACACCTGGCCGCACACTTTGTTAATCACACCAGAGGAGTACAGCAGTGTGAGAGACACACCTGGCTGCACACTTTGTTAATCACACCAGAGTGAGTACAACAGTGTGAGACAATACACCTGGCCGCACACTTTGTTAATCACACCAGAGTGAGTACAGTGTGAGACACACACCTGGCTGCACACTTTGTTAATCACACCAGTGAGTACAGCAGTGTGAGACAATACACCTGGCCGCACACTTTGTTAATCACACCAGCGTGAGTACAGCAGTGTGAGACACACTGGCCGCACTTTGTTAATCACACCAGAGTGAGTACAGCAGGTGAGACAATACACCTGGCCCACACTTTGTTAATCACACCAGCGTGAGTACAGCAGTGTGAGATAACACACCTCCGCACACTTTGTTAATCACACCAGAGTGAGTACAGCAGTGTGAGACAATACACCTGGCCGCACTTGTTAATCACACCCAGAGTGAGTACAGCAGTGTGAGACATACACCTGGCTGCACACTTTGTTAATCACACCAGAGGAGTACAGGGGACATACACCTGGCCGCACACTTTGTTAATCACACCAGAGGAGTACAGCAGTGTGAGACAATACACCTGGCTGCACACTTTGTTAATCACACCAGCGTGAGTACAGCAGTGTGAGACAATACACCTGGCTGCACACTTTGTTAATCACACCAGCGTGATAGCAGCAGTGTGAGACACACACCGGCCGCACACTTTGTTAATCACACCAGAGTGAGTACAGCAGTGTGAGACAATACACCTGGCCGCACACTTTGTTAATCACACCAGCGTGAGTACAGCAGTGAGACACACCTGGCCGCACACTTGTTAAACTTGTTAATCACACCAGAAAGTGAGATGCAGCAGTGTAATAAATACACCTGGCTGCACACTTTGTTAATCACACACCAGAGTAGTACAGCAGTGTGAGTAACACACCTGCTGCACACATTGTTAATCACACCTGCGTGGAAAGTACAGCAGTGGAGAGGCACACACTTGGCCGCACACTTGTTAATCACACCAAAGTGGAGTGCAGCAGTGAGATAATACACCTGGCTGCACACTTTGTTAATCACACCAGAGTGAGTACAGCAGTGTGGTATAATATGACTCATGTACATTCTTGTTAATCACACCAGCGTGGAGTACAACAGTGTGAGACAATATCTGGCTGCACACTTTGTTGTACAGCAGTGTGAGGCACATACTTGGCTGCACACACTTTGTTAATCTCGGGCCACCAGAAAGTGAAAGTACAGCAGTGTGAGTATGGGACACACCTGGCTGCACACTTGTTAAATCACACCTAGAAAGCGAAAGTGCCAACAGTGTGGCTGTAATACACTGCTGCACACTTTGTTACCCACACCAGAAAGTGAGTACAGCAGTGTGGGACAATACACCCGGCTGCACACTTTGTTAATCACACCAGAGTGAGTACAACAGTGTGGGACAATACACCTGGCTGCACACTTTGTTAATCACACCAGAGTGAGGCCAACAAGTGTGGGACAAGACCTGGCCGCACACTTTGTTAATCACACCAGAGTGAGTACAACAGTGTGGGGACACACCTGCTGCACACTTTGTTAATCACACCAGAGTGAGTACAGCAGGTGGGGGCACACACCTGGCCGCACACTTTGTTAATCACACCAGAAAGGGAGGCACAGCAGGTGAGGCAATACACCTGGCTTCTCTGCATTGACTTTTGTTAATCACACCTGCGTGAGTACAGCAGTGTGAGATAATACACCTGGCCGCACACTTTGTTAATCACACCAAGTGAGTACAACAGTGTGTGATAACACACCTGGCCGTACACTAGAAAGTTAATATTCACACCTGCGTAGAAAGGAAATTCAAGCACATTTATGTGTTTCTGCCCCTATAAGTGGGAATTAACGTACTAATGAAGGCAAAAAATGTGGATACAATAAACTATCTGTATTTGACAAAATTAAAAAATTAAACTTAGCCATCATACACACACACACACACACACACACAAACACACACACATATAATAATAAATAATGGAAGCCCTCGAATCGAGGATGGCTGGCCCTAGCCACCTAGGCGTGAATTTGTTTAAGGTGTACAAGCTGTCGGCAAAAACAACAACCACCTGATTTAACGAGTTGCATGACCAGTGTCAAGGAATAGTCCAAGAAGGCCGGACAACTCTGCCAACTGCACAGGCGAACCATTACCTGTGATTGGCTGACATGCAACGATTGGCTTGTCACACACACACACACACACACACACACACACACACACACACACACACACACACACACACACACACACACACACACACACACAAACACATTAGGTAAAAATCATTAGAAAGGTTACTAAACCATAAATAAGTGTACAGGTATGGATCATAAATATAACTTCCAGAATCACTCTCATATACTCTCACCGCGGCCTGACGAATTAACACAACCTGTACGTTCTGTCAGGGCTCAGGTCGAGTCTCATCTGTACCGATAATTCATCGCGTGTGTGTGGTGTACTAAAAATGGCGGCATCCGCCTTTAATTTTACACATATAGCGTCTTAGTTTGTTGT